CTCGACCACGGGATGGGAGGAGCATTCTCGATGGCCCCCAGGAGGTCCCCAGCAGACACGGTTTGGCGCCAGAGCTTTTTGGTTGAACTAGCAGGGCTCTCAGGAGGACACTCACTCCAAGTCCTGTGGGACATCACGCAATTATAAGAACACGGCTCTTTCGACCTACTCGTCCGTGCTGCTAAGTGGTGCATGTACCCGCTTCACTTGCTCATTCACTTGCTCATTTTCAATATCTCTAAATACAGATGGCCACGATTCCTCATGCGAGATGGGCAAGTCGATGATGCGATCTTTCCACGTCGAGGGATTGTTGCTGGTTCAACGCTGGCCACGTACGGAGCCAAGGTGGTCCTCAAACCCGCAGTGGGCACCCTCGTGAACAACCTCAACGAGTCATCAGGCCTATCTCTGCACTAGACGGCCTCTCACTTCTACAGTGGGGACAACACAGCGGCCGGGTTGACAATACGTTGAAGGATATGGCTATTGTTGTCCACAACTATCTAGCGGTGAGCCTGAGACTTCCCATGGCGTACAAGAAGTTTGGCTTGGTTGGGTCGGCAGGGCCTGTCTTACAGGCGGGCAAAGAAGCGCTTGGGAAGTTGGCTGGGCCACAAGGAGCACAAGGAGCTGTTACGAACCTGGGGATCGATTCTGTGGGTGGTCGCCATAGGTTGAGGCTAGCTGCCAATGCCACTCGGGAGAAACGTTTTCCCAAGTTTAAGGCCAAGGGGAACCGGCTGGTCAGGTTAAAGATCACGGCGGGCCACAGGAACAGGATGTTTCAGACCAACCTCAAGCCGACGGCCACATACGGAGCTGATGTACATGCCTCCAGTCCCACACATATTGCTGAACTCAGAGGGGCTGCGGGGAGAGACGCGAGGGTCACCTTCAAGGGCGCCCAGTTGGACCTAGCTTGGAGTTGGTCTTCGTATGCCGAACCTATCGATGTGGCTGTCAAGTCCATCGCCAGATGTGCTCAGGAATGGTGGATGCCCTCTGCGGTACGACCTGATGAGCATGTACATGCTGACGTGATCAACATCTGGAGGCTCAGCGAGAGATGGTCCGCAGCAAAAGAATACGTCGAAACCACTGCGGGGAGAAACTGGTTGTTTAGATCCAAGGAGCCCATTTCCGACACCTTACTTTGGGCCCAGGTTGCCAAGTGGACCGATGTGAAGCCTGGTATGTTTCTGGACTGTTCCAAGAACGAGATCGACTTAACTGAGCTTGCCCCACTCTCTGTAGGCAGGTTGTTTTCTCGGCAGCTCAACGACAATCTTGTCCAGGAGCGCGTTTCCAAAGTTTGCGTTAAATCGAGTTCTGATACCCAGGACTTGGAGTCCAGGGGCCTTTGGTGGGATGTCCCGCGCAAGCTGCTCACGTCTAAGGCTGGCGATTGGAGCCACCTCGATAAGGTCCGCTTCCGCCAGTTTTATTGCTGGCCCTTCCCACTGGAGCTGCCTTTTTTTCCCGCTGGGGATACAACGTTTCTGACAGAAGTTGCAAATATGGAATGGTTGACACTGGTTGGCACAGGGTGTGGCAATGCCCAGACAGCCAGGTCAGCTTAATCCGCAGCGAGGTTTTCCCAGCCAGCCTCACTCAGCAAGCTATGCAGGACGGCCCCGACTCCTTGCTACTCATCAGAGGTTGCATGGCCAAGCCAGATCTCACGAACGAGCCGCCTGAGAACGAATGGAAGGTTTGTTTCTTTGGCCCAGATGGTGAGGCGTGTGACGGTGTCGTTTTCCATGAGGGAGGGAGATTGTTCTCAGACGGTTCGTGTTTAGACCAACAGGCCGGTGAGTTTTCGAGAGTTGGCCTTGCCGTTGTCCAAACGGACGACCAAGGCCGCCTCCTAAGAGGATTACGAACTGCCATACCAGCCCCCATGCCGCAGACCAGCGGCGTTGCAGAACACGCCGCCATCATGATGGGTTGCTGGCATAGTTGCGATCGGGCGTCTAGGGGGATCCATGTCGACTATGTCACGCCCCTGAAGGCCCCCAGGGACCCGGGATGGGCTTTGCCGGGGGCCAGCCCCATGGCCCATATGTGGAGAGACCCCCTCGTCAAAGTCAACGCGCATCAGGACGAGGACAGCATCTCGGATGCTGAGACGAGGGTCTACTGTAAAGGCCACACATTAGCAGACTACTACGCTGGGCGGGCTGCCAGGAGCCACGCCATTTCTGAGGGCACGCCAGCGCCCTGAAGAATTATAAGCTTCTTGCCCATGGGGTAGGGCAAATCCTTGGGGAGTGGCCGTGCGCTGGGAAGCCTGGGGGCTTGGGTTAGAGTTTGGCTGGGCCAGCGAAGCGTCTCCCCAAGGATCGCCCCATCCATGATAAGAATTCTTCACGCTTCGCGTATCCCCACCAGCCCATCTCAAAACAGCAAGTCTTGCGAAGCATGCCGACAGTCGTGTTTTTCAGGCGTGTTTCCGCCTGCCCCCGCATATCTCCCCTGTTCCTCCTGTTCCTCCTTC